ACTATATGCCTTTCAAAAAATCCCATTTTACATTCTAGGTCTAAGCATATAGAAATTAAACATCATTTTATTAGGGACTATATTCAGAAAGGAATTCTTTCATTAAAATTCATAAACACAGACCATCAATGGGATGATGTTTTCACTAAACCCCTTTCTGAAGATAGGTTTAATTTCATTCTGAAACATCTCAGCATGAAACTATGCCCAGAATAATAGTTTTGTTTATGTATACGTTAAAACTCAGAACTTTATGCCTTTATTTTTTGTGTGAACATCTGATCAATAGTTCTTTAGAAGTAAGATGGAAAGTTGTATCAGGATCTATCTAAAGATCTGAACATTCTCCAAACGGTTCATTTCAAAGATAGCTTGCATGTCACAATATCAACATTTGTCAACTCAACGCAAGGTTTTCCTCTAAAGTTGAACACGTGTTCAAATTCTGAAGAGACTGAAACGTTGATTGGATGCATTAAGAATCGTGTCATATCGGTAATTGTTTAATATCTTTACGTTATCCCTCTTTCTCAAGAATCATTAATGCTAGTAATCATTCTCTTTAAACCCTTTTCTTGTTAATCAAGTCTCCTATTTTCCTATATATACGTTGCTCACTTTCACTATCACTTTTCCACTTTTAAACGTCTGTCTCTCTTAATTTTGTCCAATCTTTCAAAAACCCTAAAAAGTCTGTGTGAACAATGGCTTCCTCCTAACAACTTTCTCATAGATCTCAAAGAATTCCTGGCTCTTCTTCTACAACAACAGAAAGGTACGAAGAACCCTCAAGAACTCTACTTACTCCCATTGATTCACTGGAAGTTCTGTGTGAGCTCATTGTAGACTTCAACAGCATAAAGGAAAACATATATGATCTAACCCCTGATGTTGAGTTCCAAGGACAGAATAAGTACTTTGATCGCCTGATGGGTCCAGTTTTTCCAAGACTTGTTAAAGAATTCTGGATTCACGCTACAACTTCAAATCATCAGGTCACTTCCTTCATGATGGGAAATAAAATAGTCATCTATGAAGATCTCATTGGACAACTGATAGGTCACAACGACGGCGGTATTTGTTGAAACGATATGGCTGACAAAAGCTCTGACCTAACAAAGATTTCAAAAGAAATTTTTACTTCTGGCCAACCATCCAACAACGATCTGAAAGATTACCTCAAAATTTGGTCAAAAATCATTTTAGGTTGCATCAATCACAGAAAACCCACAAGCTCTCCAGACTATATCAACATTGATCAGCAGTATCTTTTGTACTTTATAGCCACCAAAGAAAAGGTTAATCTCCTACATCTTATGTTCAATCATCTGAAGACCAACGTCAAAGAGACAAGAGAAGAAGAAAGAGAGATTGGATCCCTCTGGGAAGACTCATTTCAGATATTCTAACAGAAAACAAACTGATAGAACATTTGACTGAGGCTCAAAAAGTCAGCACTCTGGAAGCTTGTGCTGGTAAACCTCTCAACGCCAAGAATCTGAAGAAGATGAAGATTATTGAAACCATCAAGAAGGATCCAAAATTAACAACCAAGGAAGTCATTACCACTAGAAGAGTACCTCTGAAGGATTTTCCTCTCTTCTCTCAAACAAATGCTTCTCTAGATAATATTCTCAGATATTTGGATGCTTGCAAAAGGGATGGGACAAATCCAAAAGTTAACATCCGTGATCTGAGACAACAACCTCTTGAAGTTGCTCCCAGAATATCAAGGAAAAGGAAAGTTGCTGCAGAATGAACTTATCAAAGAACTCCCATATATGCCAAAAAGAAAGGTAATCCATCTTTTATTTCTGTTGTTGAATCAGTACTGTTATCAACATCTGAAAACCCTCATTCTCCAAAACCCACTGAAGATCCATCGCCTCAAACCTTTGATGACTTTGACATTGACTTTGACATCTCACTATCCCTAGATAACCTTCTGAACAACCTAGCTACTATCCATCTTAACTAAAATCAGCCTAAACTTGCTCAAGTTCTTTCTGATATTGATCAATTTGATCTACTGTTTGAAGCTCCCCACACTTAAAATCCAAACTTTGACTCTGATACCACAACATCCATTCCTGGAATCACCTTCCCTCTCATGGTCTCTCAACCACTCACAATTCCCTCAACTTCCTCACAAAACCTCTGCATCCCAGATATTCCATCTCCCGATCAATCCACTCCACCAAACTCACCAAATTCACCCATTATTATTTCTGACTCTCCCTCTCCCAATAACCACCCATAAGATCCCCTTCGAACAATTATAGACTTAGAAGCCTTGGACAATCTCATCACAAGTTCTCAGAAAATCGTCATTCTAAAACCAAAACCAAAAATTTCCAAAGCAGATGTTGGTAAATCTCTGCTGATTTTTGAAATAGAAATACAGGAATGGGTTAACTCTCTTAAGCTAGCTTGCGTAGAGAATCTTAACCCAACTTCCTCTGATTCTCATTGGAACCAGTTCAAAAAATGGTCCAGCTCTGAATCCCTGAAACTCAAGGAGCTAAGTTATGAAATTGCTCAACAGAAATTCAGTGATCATCTGAATATCTTCAAGGATCAAGTTCTGCGTCACTGGGAAAAGAAGCCACTCATTTTGGTGGACAATGTCCCTTGGGAAGATCATCAGCCAATAAAATATGGTGAACGATCCTCTGATCCTCTTCCTCTAATTATGTTTCAAGACAAATGCAAGGAAGTTGAAAAAGCACCTGAGTTAGAATCAGCCGCAGCTTGCTCTGAAAAAGTGGTTCCTTCTGCTGATATACCCTCTTCATCTCTTGTGCTACAAACTATGGAGGAGTTTAAGAAAGAGAATGGTGTGTTTAAGGAAAGGCTAGACAAGCAGGATGATATGTGCAATGAAATCAAAGGGATTCTTAGAAAACAAGAGGAATCAAACGGTCAGATCAAGAGTTTATTGGAAGTCCTGTTCACACGACTTCCACCACCTTAAACTTAGTTCTGAAATTTGTTTTCTTTATTTTTTATTTGTTTCCTTCAGAATGTGTTTTTATTGGAATCTCTTTGAATACAACATGCCTTTTATTGTCTGCAATGTTTTTATTGCTTTTTGATTCTTGACAAAAAAAAGGGAGAACGTAATATTATTTTAAATATAACAATATCGAGACTCAGTCTCAAACATTTTGAATATCATAACTTCTATTTTTTTTTTCTGAAAGAAAAACAAGAACAAACTCTGTTGAGGACAGAAGTGGACGCATCAAAAACTCTGATCAGAATAATCTTCAGGGAAGTATTTCTTCTTTATCTGAGTATCCAACTCAGGGGGAGACTTTAAATGCTTTATGTTCTTTAAGTTTCTATCAAAATATCCAAGTTTTTGCCATCATCAAAAAGGGAAAGATTGTTAGAACATAGTTTGATTCTACAATCCTTGTAAGAGTTTTGATGATAACAAACACTCAAAGAACAATTATGCGCCCTAAATAAGTATTTTACTTTGCAGAGAAGTTCTGATGGAAGAGGCATGGAAGATGAGTTAGATCGTTGTTTAAACTCTGATTCAACATATCTTATATAGAAAGCAATCTGCATAACACGCTTATATAGAGAAGTTCTCAAGCTACAACTTCCGAGTGCACTAAATGTTACGAACAGGAACTCTGTTATTCTGATTCATATAGTTCTGGAAAGAAGTAAAGGAGTCCCAATGGTAACATACATCTTCTGATGCATTTTGAAGCAAGCATGTTCTGAAGCGTTACAATTCATTTATGGATATTCAAAATTAACAGTTAAAAGAGGACAAGAATCTATATGTTTGGAAAGTTATTTAATTACTATTTATCAACATTCCAAAAGCTCATAACTTGCGTTGCCTATATATACAAGACTTAAAGGAGAAATCGTTTACGATTTGGCTGCACACAACAAACAAAAATGTTTCATCACCTTCAACTTACAAAAATTCATTTGTGTAAAACATCACTTGTGTGATACTGTTTTATTAGAAAAAACATATTGTACACTCTTTCAAATATTCTATTGTGTAATACTTTGAGAAAACCGGGTTGTGGTTTAAATTCAAGAAGCTCTGTGTAATCAAGTTTGATTAGTGGATTAAGACCTCATTGAGAGAGTCGAAATCTCCTTGGCGGGTGAACTGGAGTAGTTTGAGTTCAAACGAACCAGGATAACCAACGTGTCTTTTACTTTAAGTTTTAAAAAACCCCAATTCAAATCCTCCCTTCTTGTGTTTTTCCATTCTTCAACTTGTCCACCTAAAACCTTAAGGTAATAGGTGAGTGAATTCTCCCACTTATAAATGCTCAAGTTACCACATTCTTATCTAATGTGGAACTATTTCCCCATATTAGTCACACTTGTATTATTCTCAATAATTTAGAGGTACCAAAAATATATTTAACCCTAAAACTTACTAAAAAGATAAGAGTTTTGAAGTGTGTCTATGGACATTTGAATATAAACACGAGTTAAGTATGGATATGTGACTACTTGTGCGTGTTTGCATGTTGTGTTTATACATGATTATGATACTTAATATCCCGATTTTTTTTTTGCAAGTGTGCATCTTTACTAACCACTAGGTCTCATGTGTTTTTTTTTTGTTTTTTAACACCAGTATCCGGTCCATAGGACCGACTAATCTAGTTCGGGTGTTAGTTTTGGCATTAAGTGATTTCAGCCTTATCTTAATCGTAGTTATGGGGATCAAATTGTGGTCTTTCTTACTAAGTTCAGTATCAATCACCACTGAATCAATTAACTATTGATCTAAATCCCATGTCTCTCTAAGTCTAAGATTAACTCCAACAAGTACTCCCATGTCTTTCTAAGTCTAAGATTAACTCCAAGAAGTACTCTACCCCACATGAATGAAATGTTTAAAAGTGCTAATTTATTCATTTATTGATTTTAAAACATATTACATATAAATTTCAAAAAAGGATAGATTCAGTCATATCTAGAAGCCCACACAAGCTATAGCTTAACCATTAATATTGAGTAGGCGTAATAGGAATGGGCTGCCAAATTAATGATTGAATACGATTCTGAATTTCTGGATCTTGAATGGTATGACCATCTCCATGCTGGTAAAAAAATAATGCCATTCTACCTAGATTTATTGAAAGATCTATGAAATTTTTCGAGAAAGCTGAACTACAAGCTTCTTTATTCATCTTCTTCCAAATTGTATACATCATAGACTTTACATGCTCACGAGCCTCTATTTCAGAAGCGCCAGTTTCAATCATATAACATTGAATAGATTTTGGAATATCACCTGTCTCAATTTCACGCTGCAAAATAGAAAATAAAAACTTTTAGTAAAAAGTTATAGATTTAATTGCATTTTTACACGGTACAAATGGACTAAAACTTTTATTTCTAATAATTTTTAAGTGGATTTTATTCTTTTAATTTTTCAGTTCTTACCATTGAGTTTGCCCATATCTTTTTTTAAAATAGTTTTAAACCTTTTAAGCTCAACATACAAAGATTAACCTTAAAAATATTATAAAATATTTGATTTATTTTATAAGCAAAGAACTCCTTTGACTATAAAATATAAAAAATGTATAAACTAAAGAACCTAAAATTAAGAAATAAAATTTAGGTTGTAACATACTTTAGATGTTCCGAGATCATTAGCAAGACGTAAAATCATTGCTGAATATCGAATCAAGTCGGAGTATTCTTCTAAAAGATGCAAGTCTTCTATTTTGAATGAATTTGGAATCACAAAGTAAGCATGAATAAGCATAAGAGGTGCACTTATAGATATCCATGCATTCTCAATGTATTCCTCAAAGGTTGGAGTGTATCCACTATGATACCACTTTGCTTCAGTTAAGTATACTTTACATAAACCTGCCCACTATTAAACATAATAATATCAAAATGTATAAAATGCTAGATATAATTAAGAGGGCTAATAATGCAAAAAAAAAAAAAAGATAAATATATATTACTTACTTCTTTTTTTAGGTAAGAAGAGATAGAGTAGCCAGTCTTGTTTAACATTTCAAATTCAACTTCATTGACATAGTTATAGAGCGTTTGATAGCATATTTGCATGTAGTGTGGTAGAGAATTCATGTCGTTTAAATCCCATCTAAAATAATAAATAAATTAAAAAAAAAACAAACAGAATATTGATAGCTATACACTAACATTAAAAAATTTAACAAAAAATATTTTTGGAATATTACTACCTCTCAATTGCTTCTGTGAAGAGCTCTAGTTCTTCCAAGGTTCCATACACATCATAAACATCATCAATTATGGTAATTAAAGCATTCGCCTTTGTTAGAATTTTTCGAAAATATTCGAATTCTGGATCGAAACTCATTCCCACATTCCAAACAAAGTTCTCTACAAACCTGTCCCTAACAAATCTCAACTTTTCTCCAATTTCAGTTCCTTTCCACCATCTTAAGAAATAGGAGAAAATTTCAAGGTTAGTAAACGGTACTTACTTTCTATCGTTACTATTATAAATAAAATTTTATTATTAATTTATATAAACTAATAATTGATGTATTAGATCTACAGAAGAATAGTAATGATTTTTGTTACCTCGATGTATTCTTTAGTTCTTCTTGATAGACGCTTTGAAGAATGTTGAAATCCAATTTAGCAAATTGAAGTAAAACATCATTCTTATTTTGTTGTCTTTCGTAAATATTGATGAAACAACTAGCCTCCCATCGAGGTACTCTCCAATGTAATGGAAGCTCCAAAGCATGACTTATTTGAAGTGACATATGACTATCTCCATTTGATTCAAAAATTTTGAGAAATTTTGATGTGAAATCTCTTGCTTCATCTAGTATAGTTTCATCTTCAAATGAATGAAATGAAGCTTCATACATTGACAACAATCCCTCAACATCAGGTGTTTGGTCTTTCTTAAAATCACACATTTCATCTTGAAAGAAATCGAAAACATCTGCAACAAAAAATTACATTTATAAAATAGGGAAATTGAAGTTCCATATTGCTAGAGATAATGACCTATTTTTTGGAAAAATTGTTTTGTTAATGGTAAATGATGGAGATGAAAATATGGGCAAAGCCATTAGCTAGAAATGAAAACTAGAATGTTACTGTCTTGAGAAATGTTGTAGTATATATGAAGCCAACGCAAGCTTTAAATAAGGTATTAGGAAACAAACACAATCATATTTTAAAATAAATCCCGAAGAAAGAAAAGGGACCCAGCAAAGCTTAAAACAAAAACCAAGCAAAGAGGAAAGAAGAAGCCAAAGAAGGATCACATGTTACAATATGATATTAAATATTATTAAATTGTTATATTCTAAAGATTATTCTATTTATAAATCTCTGTAAATTATATATTATTTACATATTAATTAATATTTTTAGTTAATTAGTAATTAAGTTAAATAAAAAATTTATTATATATTTACTTAAAAAATAATAAATTTTTTGATTAATATACTAGCAAAAATTTAAGTCAATTAAACTTACGAAAGATTTAATATAAAATAATATTTTTGAGGTGTTATAGTCCGACAAAGAGGAATTAACATGCTATCCTCTAAATTAAATATTTCATCTTTTAAATTTTTTTATTCTAGAATTATTTCAGTTGAATTACAAACAATTTCTGATAGATTCATTGAAATTTTTGATAGATTTTACGAAATATTTGATATTTTTTTTGAAATAAAATTAAATAAAATTTTCAATATGAAAAATTTCAGTGTATTTGAAATTTTTTTTATTAAATTTTTGGTATGATATCAAAAATTTTAAATACACCGAAAGTTTTGATAGTGATTATTTTTGAAAAAATATTTAATAATTTTTCGAAAATTTTAGAATTTTTCACGAAAATATAAGAAAAATATATTTTTTTCTTCAAAATTTTTGAAAATTTTGAAATGCATTGAATATTTCGATATTGTATAATTCGGAGGGGGTGGCATTTTAATATCTCTCATTCAAGAGATACCCACCAAATTTTGGGGTTTAAAGCAAAATTTTGAGATAAAATTAATTTTTTAATTATATGTATATATACTTATAAATTTCTGTAAATTATATCATTTATTTATTAATTAAGAGTTTTAGTTAATTAGTAATTAAGTTAATTTAAAATTTTATTATACTTTTACTTAAAAAATAACTTAGTTGATATGAGCAAAAATTGAAGTCAAATAAACTTTTAAAATATTTAATATAAAATGGAACTTTTATGGTGTTATAGTTGGTCAAAATATACCCAATAAAATTTGAAGTTTAAAGCAAAATTTGAGATTAAATTATTGAATCTTGAGAAAGATTAAATGTTATGTGTAAGATTATTTTTTATGGATTTTGCATATATTTATTTATGATAAAAAATATAAAATAATTATAATAAATATTTAAATATATGATTTTTGGCTCAAATAAATATTTAAGAAAATAAACCTTAAATTTAGTTAATTTTCTGCTTTTGCATATATTTTCAATTGTATGATTTTGGTCCCCCTAAGTTTTCAAATTGTTTGATTTTGACCCCTCAAGTTTGTCCACTTTGGCATTTGATAGCCCTTTAATGACATGTAGACTAAAATTTTTTTATTACTTTTGTTAAGTTTTGATTTGTTGGCTGCTTTTTGGTAAAACAATTAGTTCATCATGATGTTGGGAAAGATGTTGTGACATGTTGCTACAACATTGTAGCCTGTGTTGTTCCTATTTCTGGAAGATCTGTTTCTGTTATTTCTAGATAATTTGTTTTGTTATTTATGGATCATGCAGTGCATTGAAGATTGGATTCTCTGATGATTTGTTTCAAAGCTGAAGAGATAACAGAAGATCTGATTTGCTTGATTAGATGTCAAAAAAATTTGTCTTGCATTTAAAGATTTGATTAGATATGATTGGATCTAATTTGATTTCATTTGCATAAGGTTATAGCTAGATTGAATATCCAAGCACAAGAGATGCACTAGTATATAAAAGAAGGAGTATTGTGATACGGTGGCCAGAACCGGGACGTGGTTTCTGCCACCGTATCACAGGTACCCTTCTTTGAGTACAAAATCTTCATTTCTAGAAAATATACCATATTTCCCAGATTTGTCATCTCAAATTCATTCATCAAAACTTCTTTGAACTTGATTATATCTTCTAAAAAACTTCATGTTAGCAATATGTCATCAACATATAGACACACCAGAATCATATTTCCATCAGAATGATGTACACACACGCCATATTCCATCTCACATTTATGAAACTTCTGCCTCTTGAAAAACGAATCAATTTTCAGATTCCAAGCTCTGGGCACTTGTTTCAGCCCATACAAGGCTTTATGTAACTTGTATACCATCCCTTCCTGATTCTTTTTCACAAATCCAAGAGGTTGTGATACATATACCTCTTCTTGTAACGGACCATTCAGAAATGCAGACTTCACATCCAGATGTACCAAAGGCCAATTTTTGTTTGCAGCTAAAGAAATCACCAGTCTGATTGTTTCGTTTATAGCTACAGGTGCAAACACCTCAAAGTAATATAGCACATGTTTCTGAAGAAAACCTCTAGCCACTAGTCTCGCTTTGTGTTTGCCAATTGATCCATCTGGCTTAAACTTCACCTTGAAAACCCATATGACGCTGATGGCTTTCTTCTTTTCTGGAAGCTTTGTAAACTTCCAAGTTTTGTTTCTTTCAATAGCCTCAAGTTCTTCCTTCATGTCATTCAACCATACTTTCTTCTTAAGAGCTTCTTCAATACCCACCGGTTCAGAATCTACTAACATGGAACACTGAACGACTTCTCCTTCAGAATCTACTTTTGTGTCGTGCAATATGCTAAAATCTACAAACCTACTTGGTATTTGTCTGATTCTCTGTGGCCTCTGAACTTGTTCTGAAGCTTCTTCAGAACTTGGAATAGTGCTAGCTTTTGGACCTTGTCTAGAACTACTTCCTTCAGAATTACCACCTCCAGAGTTACTTCTGGAAGCTTGTCCTCTAGACCCTATGTCTTCAGAGTTTTCCCTTCCAGAAATATAATCACCACCAGATTTTGGATCATCATCAGAATCTGGATCAGAATCAGATCCACTATTATAATCTCCCTGAGATTCTGACTCATCTTCAGAGTCTTCAGATTCATCTTCTGATTCTGACTCGTCTTCAGAACATTATGAAGAATCTTCAGAAACTAACTCTGGTGTTGGCGCTACACCAGAACCTGATTTAGGCTTGTTCCAACCCCATGTTTCTGACTCTTTCACAATAACGTCTCTGATGATTTCAACTTTTTTGGTTTCTGGACAATAAAGTTTATAGGCACCTGTACTATGGTACCCCACCAGTAACATTACTTTGCTTCTATCATCCAGTTTCCGTCTTCTAGCTTCTGGAACGTGTTTGTAGCATACAGAACCAAACACCCTCAGATGGCTAACACTTTGCTTATCTCCAGTCCACTTTTCTAAAGGAACAATTTCCTTCAGCTTCTTCGTTGGACACATATTCAGAACATATGCTGATGTGGCAACACCTTCTCCCCATAACATGTGAGGTAGCTTCTTCTCTTTCATCATACTTCTGGTCATATCAACAAAGTTCTGTTTCTTCTTTCAGCAAAACCATTGTGCTGAGGAGTATATGGAGCAGTAACCTCATGTTCTATTCCATTCTCCTCACAAAAATTCTGGCACTATGCAGAGTTATACTCACCTCAATCATCCGTTCTCAGAATCTTCAGCTTCTGACCACTCAGCTTCTCAGCCTTCACCTTGAACTTCTAGAACTCAGTAAACACTTCATGCTTGAATTTTATGAGTGTTACCCATGTCATACTTGTGAACTCATCCACAAAAGACACAAAATATTTGTTTCCTCCAAGTTAATATACTGGAAATGGTGCACATACATCAAAATGTACTACTCCCAAAACATGCTTTGCTCTGGGGGCTACTTCTGATGCAAATGGAAATATGGGTTGCTTGCCTTTCATGCATATCTCACATGACTTCTCCGGCTTCACAATATTCGAAATGCCATGTACAAGATTCTTAGGACTTAGATGCTCTAAGCTTCTATAGTTCAAGTGCCCCAACCTCTCCTGCCATAGCTTACTATTACCTTCAGCGCCTTCTGCACTAAGACACTCTACTTCAGTTGTTTCTACATTCACCTTGAATGTTCTGTTGCTTCCCTGTTCAGACTTCATAATCAACTTCTGATTAGAATCATATAACGTCAAGAGGTTGTCCTTCATAATCACTAAGATACCTTTCTCAATGAGATGATCCACACTCATCAGATTACTTTTAATTTCAGGAACATACCAAACATTTTTTATCAGAATGTTTTTTCCATTCTTCACTATGACTCTGACATTTCCCATACATTCTGCATTAAGATACTTATCATCAGCACATCTGATCTTTGTTCTCCTTCTGGAGTCAAAGTCTATCAGCCATTGTTTGTTCTCAGTCAAGTGGTTTGAACAGCCAGTGTCCATATACCACAAATCTTATGAGCACTTTCCATCAGAATTAGAAGCCATCAGTAGCACAGGTTCATCATCAGAATCTCCTCTAGCTATATTTGCTTCTTCTTATTTCCTTCCTCTGTTTCTACAATCTCTGGCAAAATGGACAAACTGTTTACAACAGTAACATTGAACCTTCTTCTTGTCATACCTTTCCTTTCCATTATGATATTTCATTTCATCAGAAGTTGAGGTTTCTGACTTTTGGAATTTATCACCACGTCTATTCTGCTTCTGGTACTTCTTGACAAAAGAAGCCTTCAGAGCGTGCTCCACTTCCCTTGCAGAAGTTCTTTCAGTCAGACGCAACTCCTGCGCTTCTACACTGCTTTGCAACTCTTCTATTCTCATGGTTTCCAGATTTTTAGAATGTTCAATAGAAACAACAATGTAATCAAACTGAGGAGTAAGTGACCTCAGAATCTTCTCTATGATTACCTGTTCAGAAAGTGTTTCTCCACAAGCTTTCATCTCATTAGTGATACGAATCATTTTGGAGATGTACTCAGAAACTTTCTCACTGTTCTTCATGTTGAGATTCTCATATTGCTTTCGCAGGGATTGAAGCTTCACCTTCTTCACCGACGCGTCACCACCGTAACATCTGACCAGTATATCCCATGCCTCTTTCGACGTCGTCGAATCAACAATCTTCTCAAACACACTTTCATCCACACACTGATGGATATAGAACAGAGCTTTCTGATCCCTCTTCCTCGCAGCTCTTTCTGTAGATCTTTGTTCTTCAGTAGCATCTGCTGCAACTAGAGCATAACCATTGGTAACAAGATCCAGAACATCCTGAGCACCAAACAACACACGCAGTTGTATCATCCATCTGTTCCACCTTCTGCCATCAAAGACTGGAAGTTTAGTGTTCAAACTACTGTCTCCACTCATCTTAAACATTTCACAAAACTCATATCTCAAATCTCACTCAGTGTTTCCCTAACCCACAAAATCAGTGTGATTCTGTTCAGATTTTTGTTCAATATTCAACAGAAATCAGGAACCAAAAAATCAAACA